CTGGACGCTCACCTGCGTGGCTCACGCTTACGTGTGTGACTCTTGACCTCAGATCAGGTCTGGATCTCAGGGTTGGAGTTTGAGCCCTGCTTTGGGATCCATGCTGGGTGTGGAGTCTACTTTCAAAAGGAAAGTTTCCTATGTAGTAGTGATTAAAGAGTGTCTAAAGGAAACTGAAAACAAAACTGTGACCTTTGGTATAAAAGTCCGTCCACACGCAGGAGAACAGCAGATTCCACCATGACTGAGATAAGTCCCTTTTTTTATTTTTGCATAACTTTCTATTTGCAGTTCTCCAGCAGTAGGCCACCCCCCTCTCATAAAGGCCTCCGTGTGGGTTCCTGGTGTTGGGCACTCTGAACTCCAGAGTTTGGAAAGGCTTTAGAAGGGTGTTATGGAAAAGTCTTGTTGTTTCAAAGTCCCTTTTCCTGCAGGACAGTGCGGGCTTCGGGCCCACTGAGCCTCCCCTGTCCTCTGGCTCAGCTCCCGGGGAAGGAGCTGGGGTGGGGTGGGAGCTTTGCCTGCCTGAGCTGGGAAGCATCTGGTGTGTGGGCCGAGGGGGGGGTCCCAGGACTTGGGAAGTGAGGGGATCCCCAATGTGCCTGTCTCCCTTGCTGGGCAGGAGTTCAGTGCCTGCTCAGCTCTCTCCTCCTCTCTCCTCTTCCCTCCTTGGCATCTGTCCTGCCTCGGTAAGTATGCTTCCATTCCAGCCTTCTGACTCTGATCTCCCTTCCTGTCAGCCCTGATGTGCAGATTCACACGGTCCAGGCGGGGGCAGGCCGGCTGCGTGGTTGGGGTGCACTGAAGGGGAATGAGTTGAATCATGCAATTCGAGGAAATGAGGCCATTCTGGGAAAGAGCGGCGCACTCTGCACTCACCTGATCCACTGGGGTGGACCGATGGCCTGCTTGCTGCCAAAACAAATCTGCCTGTTGTTGCCTGGGCAGCCTCTCCTTCTCCGGGCGGGGCCCGGGGTCACATTTTACTGCCACCAGCCACTGTGCAGGGTGTCTGGGCCTGACCTTAGTTAGACATTGAACCTCAGAGTGACAAATACCATTTCGGGTTTTTTTGTTTGTTTATATATAGTTTTTTATTAACTAAAATGTATTATTTTGGGGGCGCCTGGGTGGCTCAGTCGGTTAAGCCTCTGCCTTCGGCTCAGTTCATGGTCCCAGGGTCCTGGGATCAAGCCCCATATCAGGCTCCCTGCTCAGCAGGAAGCCTGCTTCTCCCACTGCCACTCCCCCTGCTTGTGTTCCTGCTCTCGCTATCTCTCTCTCTGTCAAATAAATAAATAAAATCTTTAAAAAAAATAAAAAAATAAAATGTATTCTTTTTTTCAGGGGTACAAGTCTGTGATTCATCAATCTTACACAACTCACCGCACTCACCATAGCACATACTCCCCCAATGTCCATCACCCAGCCACCCCATCCCTGCCACTCCCCTCCACTCCAGCAACCAGCAGTTTGTTTCCTGAGATTAAGAGTCTCTTATGGTTTGTCTCCCTCTCTGGTTTCATCTTGTTTCATTTTCTCCTCTCTTCCCCTATGATCCTCTGTCTTGTTTCTCAAATTCCTCATATCAGTGAGATCCTATGATAATTATCTTCTCTGATTGACTTATTTTGCTTAGCACAATACCCTCTAGTTCCATCCACGTTGTTGCAAATGGCAAGATTTCATTTTTTTGATGGCTGCATAATATTCCATTGTATATATATACCACCTCTTCTTTATCCATTCATCTGTTGGATGGACATCTAGGCTCTTTCCATAGTTTGGCTATTGTGGACATTGCTGCTATAAATATTAGGGTGCATGTGCCCCTTCAGATCACTACATTTATCTATGGGGTAAATACCCAGTAGTGTAATTGCTGGGTCATAGGGTAGCTCTATTTTCAACATTTTGAGGAACCTCCATACTGTTTTCCAGAGTGAAAAATCCCCTTGATTCCAACGTGGAGATCATCCCTGAGCCTGCCGTGCCCTGGCTGGCTGAGTCATGGCACCGCTTACCCTCCAGCCCCTCTTCCATGTGGATGTCCTCTGCCCCCATTCCAGGCCAGGCCCTTCACCGGATCCTGGGAAGGAAGGAGCTAGGCAGCACACAGGATCCTGCCCCAGTGGAGCTCAGAGCCCACAGGGAGGTGCAGACAGACACAGGGAATCCCAGCAGGACGTGATCCATGCAGGGGGAGGTGGCAGCTGAGCCAGGCTGGGGCCCTGAGAGCAGCTGCTCAGAGAGGGATGTCTGTGTGGGGGAGAAGAAGAAAGGAGAGGTGGGGAAGGTGACTGTGACTGAGACAGCCAGATGTGCAGAGGATCAGAAGCAGGGGCCAGCTCTATGGTGAGGAGAAGGGCAAGCCAGTCAGCCTGGAGCCAGAGGGCAGGGAGGGTGAGGTGGGCTGAGGAAGGGCTGGTTGGAGAGCCTTTGAGCTGCCCAAGGTGCATGCCCTATGCCCTGAGGCCAGGGGAAGTTCATGGCCAGATGTGCCCTTTGGGAAGGCCACAGTGGGTCTTGGGGAGACTGGGTGTGGGGTAGCATGCACAGATGGCCTGGTGGGAGTGTGGGGGGGGTGCAGTCAAGAGGGCTGGGGACCTGGCTGGCTAACTTGGAAGAGCATGCAACTCTTGATCTCAGGGTGGTGAGTCAAGCCCCATGTTGGGTTGGAGATTACTAGAATAAATAAAATTAAAAAAAAAAAAAAAAGCTGTGAAGTCTCAGAGTCAGCCCCGAAGACTGCCTGATGAATTCAGAGAATGAGAAGGTGATGAATTCAGGAGAAACTCCCAGGATCAGTGTTGGTTTTTGGATATTGGCATGACAAAGAGAGCTAAGGAAAGCTGACCCCTGGTCTTTGATTAGGTGGCCTGCAATGAGTTATAGAGGTTTGTGGTTTGCTGAGAGCAGGCACAGAAAGGGAGAGAAACTGAAACAGTCTCAAATCAGAGGTTGTGGCCCCCTGGTGTGGGGGTGGGGGGCACTGAGGAGCAGGAAAGAGGTGTGGAGGGGGAGAGAGGCAGGACCAAATCAGGGGGAGAAGAGGCAGCTCAGCGCTGCCCAGCTGAGTGTTCTTGGCCAAGCCCCTCTCTCTCTGATCTTCGGTTGCCCACCTGAATAATAGGGTGATGCTTCCTTCCCCTGGGGCTTCTGGAAAAGTGCCCACTGAGGCCTGCCATGTGCATGCTGGGAGCAAGCCCCCTCAGGGCAGAAGCTGCCCCGCTCTCCAGAGCTTCAGGTCCCCGGGTGATGCCGTCAGCCAATGTCTCTCAGGTTGGCATCTCCAAGGGTGGGTGTCCTGGGGCTGGAAGGGCCAGCATCTGAGGAGGATCAGGTACCTGGTGCAGCCATGGACAATGAGGGCCAAGAGGTGTGATAAGGACTGGCGAAGGGTAGAGAAGCTGGTGACTCTCCTCCCTGACTGCTGGGGAGGGTCTGAGGCTCCCAGGCTCAGCGAAGGGGTTTCCATGCAGGTGGTCATGTCTGCAGGCTCGGGAGCAGGTGTACAATGCACCTGCACATGCTTGCTCACAGCCTCAGTGTGCACATGAGTACGCACAACACATACACACAAACCCAACATATACACATACACAGATGTGTGCATAACAATGCCCAACACACAAGCGAAAACCCCATACACAACACAACAGCTGTGCACATGAGTATACCCGACATGCACATGCAAACCCAACATATACAGCACATGCTGATGTGCATGTTCAGGGAACACAACACACAGACACACATGTACCACATGTACATATACACACATGTGCTCCCTCACACATATCCCATACAACTGGAGCGTGTGCACATACATACATAATAATATGCACACACTGAACCAATCTCCACTCTCCCATTCCACAAGGACCTTTTCTCTAGGCTTCTAGCCCCTGGTTATGCAGAATCTCTAAAGTGACAGCAGGATGAGGACCCCACAGGGGCCAGGAGTTCCCTCCCACTGCAGGCTCTCACCAGGTGATGAACATCACCCAGTGGGGTCCCCAGGCCAAGCTGCAGGGCCCCAGCTGGGCACTCTACTGTTGCCTAGAAGCCCGCCTACACCATTTTGGGTTTTTGTGTTGCAGTTTTGTGAAGAACCCAAACCTGGAGACCTGATCCAGATTTTCCGCATTGGCTATGAGCACTGGGCCATCTATGTGGGAGACGGTTATGTGATCCATCTGACTTCTCCAAGTAAGCACTGTTGGAAATATTATTTTCAAAATATTTGTTACCATCATGAGAACAATTAGAAGAAAATGCTGAGCAAGGGAAAACTGAGTTGGTTACTCCCTGAGCTTGCTTGAGCAGACCATACATCCATATCCCACTGGGTAATCGAGTGGAGTCCCATAGGTCTGGAGGCAGGGAAGGCAAGTAGAATGCACATTCCAAGGACAAGGAGGGGATGAGGAGCCTCTGATTTCTGGGGTCCAGCTCACGGATCACCAGCAGTCACATCCTCTGGATGACCTCCCCCAACAGCAATATTTTGATTATAAAATAGAGATAATATTTACCTCAAAAGTTAAAAGGTGATGAAGTAATATATGGAAAGTAGACAGTTTGTGAAACGCAGTGGATACCAAAATAAATTTGATCTCTTTCTGAAATGTACGAGTGCACAAAAATTGCACAAATAGTAAACGACTATCATTGTTTATGATAGCAAAAGTTTTGAACAACCTAAGTGTTCAATGATAGGGCTTGATCAAATAGATGATCTACATTCATGGGATGGAATACAATGACATTGGCATAAGCAATCATGACATTAACTGACTTAAAAAAATATTCACAGCTCGTTCAGTAAAAAGAACAAAATCTGTGACTCCTCCAATCACATTTGTGAAAAGACAAACAGCAAGACCTCAGTAGTGTACTCCCTTGGTTCTCCTTATGTTCTTCCCCTTCTCCCTCCCTGTCTCGCCTTCCCCTGCAGCTCCCGATGACCGTGGTGGTGTCTCTGATTCTAGGTGAGTACCTGGGGGCTGGCTCTGGCATCATCTTTTCCATTCTGAGCAACAGAGTGGTGGTGAGACAGGAGCTCCTTCAGGAAGTGATGGGGAGCTGCCACCATAGGGTCAACAACCTCTTGGACTACAAGTGCAGACCACGGCCTTTGAAGCTGATCACCTACTCTGCGAAGGAGAAGATTGGTCAGGAGATGAAGTACAGTGTTCTGGGCAGGAGCTCTGAGGACTTTGTCACCAACCTGAGATATGGCGAGCCCAACAGCAGGCAGGTAAGGCCCTCTTTGAGACAATCCTTTCTCCTGGAGGTCCCCTTGGGGTGGCAGTGACCAAGCTGTGCAGCCAGAGGGGAGAATCACCATGACCCACTGGCTGGGAGTCAGGATGTCTGAGCTCAAATCTTCAATCAGCTTCTGATCCACTGGGGGTCTGTGGACAAGTCACTCCCTCCCTGGGCCTCAGTTTCCCCATGTGCAGGAGGAGGAGTTGGATGGAGGACCCCTGGAGGCCTGCCGGTCTGACCTTCTAGGATCCATCACCTGTAGGATCCACCATAAAGGCAGCTCTTGATGCCCCCAAAGGATGTCAGAAAGAGTGTGGGCCAAGCCAGCACCAGGACAGATCTAAGGTCCCAGAGAGCACTCAGGTAAGGGATGCTCAAGGTCCATGGGCCTATGTATGAGCTCAAGGATTCATTTATGGAAGATCTGGGGCACAGCTTCCCCACCCACCCCTTCTGGCTCCCACATTTGTTGTCCCCCAAACACACAGCTAATAAGTGGCAGAGGCAAGATTCCAACCCCAGCTGTCCTTCTCTAGAGTCTCTGCTCCCTACCGCCGTACTAAAGCACCTGCAGGGCTCCAGGCCCAGGAGATTGGGTGGATGGAGGCCCCTGGATGAGATGAGGATGAGGATGAGGATGGGAGCAGCAGGTTTGAGGAGGGAAATGAAGATTTTGGATGTGGTTGGCGATGGGTGACCATTAGAGCTCCTGGTGGCGATATTGAGTAGCAGTTGGACCTAGGAGTCTGGAGTTCAGGGTTGAGGTGGGGCTGGAGATAGAAATTTCCAGGCTGCAGTGCACAGTGCATAGTGAACCCAATATGCTTCCTGTGGCCATGGTTTCCTGAAGTTTCTCCTCAGCTTCTGCCACAGCCCCTCCCTCCACAGGTCTGTAGTGTAGCCCACCCTGCAGAGCAGTTCCCAGGCTCAGCCCCAGAGCTCTGCCCCACCCAGAAACAAAGCACAACCCCTCCTCCCTTCCCACCCTGAGTCAGGAACAAATGCAATCACCCCATCAGCTCACAAAAAAGGATCCCATCCGCCCATCCCACTAGTTGTCAGGAGAAGCCCAGACAAGACCACCACTAAGAGGCCTCCTCAACTTACAGGTCTCCTAGGAAGTAGGTCCCCTGTAACCCAGCCAGCATCTTCCTAGGAGAGGACTCTGGGCTGGCAGCTTGGAGGGAGAATGAGTGTAGCCCCCAGGCCCTTGGGAGGGAGGGAGAACCTGTCTGCACTTGCTGTGGATGCTGACCATGGGCTATTCACTTTCAGGTGGCATATGCCCTGACTGGAGGAGGGGCGACCCTGGCAATGAGCCTTCTAGGCATTGTTGGATACTTTCTTTTGAAGAGCTAATCCCCAAACCAGTGACAGCCTGAAGGAACCCCAAATCCTGCAGCTGCAGAGACCAGTGCAGACACCCCTGGGCTCCGCTGTCTGCGAGACCCTCACCCTCGGGCCACCTAGGTTCTGTCTCTCCCTTTCCCTTTCTCACTGGCTGAAGGATGGGCTAATTGTACCAAGACCAAAGAATCAGTAAGTGTATCTTCAGGAAGGACTTCCACCGTAGTTTTCTAGACTTCTGAACCAGAAAGGAAGAAAGGAACATTAATTTGGCACCTGTTGGGTTCTCCCAGCAATTTCTAGCTGAGTGACCTTGGGAAAAGCTCTTGACTCTCAGAGCTTGGGTCCCACCTTCTCTGGGATGGGGGTAATGATCCACTTCCCACTGATGTTGTCAGGATTAAGTAAGGTCATGTGGAGAAGTCACCCCCCATGATGTCTGGTGCCTAGCTAGTATTCCGTGGATTGTCTACATCCTTCCACCAAGACTCACCATTGTTGTCATGACACATCATTCATTTTACTGTTGGGGTGCCAAAAAAAATCCAGACCCAACCACTGAATTCTGTCCCACTGTAGCCACACCACCTGGTGCTTGAACCCCGTGACTCTGCGTACGCAGTTCCCAACGTCTTCCCAAGCACCTCCTTCGCTCAGCCCTCTTTTAGCTTTCTTTGTCAACTCCAAGTCTGGTGCTCATCGTCTGTGACTACCAGATGGAAGTATATGCACTTTCCCTGCCTAAATTGCCAGGGTTCAAGCTGCCCCTAGGTTGAATGCTGAACATTAGCCACCTTGACTTTTAGGGCAGTGAAATACTGTGCATGAGGCTCTAATGATGGGTACGTGTCATTACACATTTGTCCAGACCCACAGAAACACTGAAAGTGGACCCAAAGGTGAACTGTGGACTTTGGGGCATTATGATGTGTCCGTGTGGGGTCATCAATTGTAACAACAATGGATCCTCTGCTGAGGGATGTTGATAGTGGGGGAGGCTGTGCATGAGGCGAGCAAGGGGTGTCCAGGAACTCTCTGTACCTTCCTCCCAATTGTGCTGGGAAGCTAAAATGGCTCTAAAAGATAAAGTCTTTTGAAAAAATTAGCCACCTCTGAATATCCCTCTGTTCTTTCGCGGCAAGCCTTTCATGTGGTCTCAGAAGTGCCAAGTCCCCATGATCTCAGGCTTGCTCAGCCAGCCTCTGCCACCAGTGACCCTACTGAATGGCTGCTCCATTTGGCCATCCTTCATGGTGGCCGCTACACCCACTCCCTGTCAGGCTTGAGGCTTAAGGATGTCACCCTCCCTGGGCTGTACCTTCCCAAGCGTGTGAAAGCTGATGGGTCCCTTAATCCCCCAGTGCAAGAGAGACCAGGCTGGAACCAACTCATCACAAGACTCCCCTGAAAACTCAGGGCTATCTGGGGTGACTGAGACATAGGAGGACAAATGAACTCTCAGGGCTGCCAGCTGGCTGGATGTACCACAGAACCATCCTCCAGGGGAATGACCCTATGCTGCCCAAGGTGAGGTGACAGGTGCTCAGAGGAGCCACTTGCCAGGTGACACCAGTGCTCAGAGAACCAGGCTGCCCTCAGCAGTCCCTCTGCTGTGGGAAAGGGCCATTGTCCCACCTCCCTATGGTGAGTCACCTAGAGAGCTGCCCAGAACATCACCAGACAGTCCCCTCATCTCTCTATAGGTTTTGTGGGATGTCCCCTTAATCCCCATCTGTTTCTATCCTCCTGTCCTGGTACCTGGAATTTGCCATAGTGAATTCAGTTTTTTAGCCTTTGCCTTTCCAGACAACATTTGCTTTCAATCTCCTTTCAATCCATTGGTATCTTAGTAAAAAGTAGTCCATGGTGGCTTTCAGTTCTCTGGTAGGACCTGGAAGAAATGGGACTTAGGATGGGCCAAGTCTTGGTGTGAGGGTTGTGTAGCCTGGAACCAGGGTTGTTGGGAGGGAGGGAGGGTGTTCTTTGAAACAAATGGTCAGGATGGGGAGGCAGTAGAGAGTTAGGAAGGAGGAATGCTAAAGAGGGAGGTGGGGAACTTGAAGACAAGCTCTCCTGTTTCCCTGAGAACCCCTTCCATCCTACATGGCAGGAGGGTTGGTCCTACCCTGGGGGCTTCAGGAAGGCAAGGGACTAGAAGGCTCTTTGCCCACCCTCGGGGATGCTGGTCAGGAAAGGAGGCAGGAGGCCTGGGTTGTGAGGATCCCCTCAGCCCTTCCTCTCGGCCAGACCCTCAGGGCAAATGTTGGCACCATCAGCCTGCTCTCTCTGTTTGCTTTGCTCTCTGGGCTACTCTAGTGGGCCCCCTTCCTTGAGACTTTTCCAGAAAAGGGTCATGCTCAGTCCCTATGCACACTCTCCTGGTGCCTGAAAAACAAAAGAGAGAGAGGCCAATTTTTTCCCAAGAACTCCCCAGGAGTAGCCGACTTTCTAATCAGGAAAGCACACACCAGGGGCAGTAGGCTGGCATTCTGCCTGAAAGACGAGGCTACATAAACTATCTTCATTTCTGATCACCAGATGTTTTCTAACTAGCACACTGAATATTGAAAATGATTTTTCCTTGGAAAAATTAAGGACATGATCATCAGCCTAATAGGGGCTAGAAATGATTTCTCATTGGTGAAACGAGGCTATTCATAAGATGGGAAGTGGCTAGGGGCACCTGGGTGGCTCAGTTGGTTAAACGACTGCCTTCGGCTCAGGTCACGATCCTGGAGTCCCAGGATCGAGTCCCGCATCGGGCTCCCTGCTCGGCGGGGAGTCTGCTTCTCCCTCTGACCCTCCCCCCTCTCATGTTCTCTCTCTCATTCTCTCTCTCTCTCAAATAAATAAATAAAATCTTTTTTTAAAAAAATTAAAAAAAAAAAAGATGGGAAGTGACTAAAATACTTTTGACCCACCCCAGAGTTGTAGGAGCACAGTGTGAGAGAGAAGCCCGGGGCCTGTTTCTTTAGGGATGGCACCTGAAGCTTGATCCCTCAACTTGCCCATGCCCAGTCTCTGGGGGGATTTCTGGTTGCCTGATGCGGACTATGGGGGCACCTAGACCCTGCCCTGGGTGAGTCTTTCACACAAGCTGAGGTCCACAGTACCTAATATGACCGAGGATGGTGTCTGCATTCTGCTTTCAGAGCAGGCTGGATGAGGGGCTCTGTGCCTCGTTGACGAACACATCTTTCATAAATGCCTTGGTGTACGATGGAATTCGGTCTGAGGTTTGCTTCATTATCAGCTGAGGGTGAGGCCTGGGGAAGTGGCTCACACGAAGACACGCAGACATTTCCATGGTTACCATTAGGTGCCAACTGAAACCCAAGAAGTATGCAGGAAGGTGACAGCTCAGCTGATTTGCCACAGTGGGGGCCAGGCTCCCGCTCACAGAGATGGTTCTGGGGCCACAGCAGGCCCCTCGCAGGTGCCGACCCCCTTCCTCTCCACGGGCTGGGCCCTCAGCACAGACAGGGGTACTGGCCAGGTAAGGGGTGGGGGTGGAGGGACAGAGCCCTCTTGCTTCTCCCTCACTGCTCCTGATGCCTTCGAATGAAATGGACATTCCAGACATGAAAAAAAAATAAATACAAGAGTTGGAATCCAATCTTTTCTTTTCCAAATAGCAGCGATAGGTTGGGGAATCAGATCTCACGGGAGATGGGAGCTCCAGCCTGGAATTCTGTCAAGGAATGTTCCCTGGGTCAAGACCCAGGCTCCCAGCAGCTCTCGAGGGGCCAAGATTCGTGCTGACCCACCCCCTCCCCGGGCGGCCCGGTCACCGGGGGTGCCGACCCTGCTTCGCTCGCCGGCAATTTCCCCCTGGTGAAACTTAACTCTGGGGCTGGGTTTGAGCCAGGTGACCCCGCCCCCTGGGGCAGAGCCGATTGGCCCAATGAGAGCACCTGACCCGTGGCAGCCAATCGGAAGGCTGAGCCGGGCGCAGCGCTGAGCCGGGTGCCGCGCTGAGCCGACCAGACTCTCCGGACCTGGACGCGGGGGACCGAGAGTGGTCCCCAGCGCGGAGAGGTGCAGCTGAGCTGACCCGACAAAACGGGCCACAGGAGGGGTGCGGGATCAGAGACTTGGGGGTCCGGGCAATCCCAAGGGGAGAGAGAGGAAGCAGGAGCCCTGGGCGCGAAAGCGAGCAGACAGGGGAAGGACGTGGAGAGCAGAGAGAGATACTAATCGTTCCTGGAAGGGAGAGGAGCAGGGAGGATGGGGTGCCTTCCCTCACTGGTGGCGGCCTCACGTTCATGGCCCAGAGTCTCCCACACAGTTCCAGCCGCTGGCGCCCCAGGCCCTGGCAGGCCCACGGTTCCTGTTCTTATGCATCACAGGTGTGTCTCCCCTCCCCCTCGTGTATCCTCACACCGCGAAGAAGAATGCAGGCCTCCAGGGGCGCCTGGGTGGTGGCCCAGGGGGTTAGGCTCCCGCTCTTGGTTTTGGCTCAGGTCATGATCTCAGAGTCGTGAGATCAAGGCGGCTCAGGCCCCATTTGGGCTCCATGCTGGGTGTGGAGCCTGCTTAGGATTCTCTCTCCTTCATCCACTCCCCCCCTCTCCGTGTGTGGGTTTGCTCTCTCTCTCTCAAAAAAACAAAAATAAACATACAGGCCTCCCAGAAGAAACGGGTGAAAAGCTGTGAATGGCTGGGGTGCACCTCAGTGTAGCCGGAGCCTGGATTAACTGCTCGGGCTGCTAGAAGGACATACCACCGACCAGGGGGCTTAAACAACAGACATTGATTTCTCTCATTTAGGTCTATAATCCGTTGAGTTCGTTGTTGTCTATGGTGTAAGAACGTGGTTCAGTTTCATTCTTTTCCATGTAGCTGACCAGTTTTCCCATCACCCATTTCTGAAGAGATTGTGTGTTTCCCGTTGCATAGCTTGCCTTTCTTGTCAAAAGTTAATTGATGATATAATGGTGGGTTTGTTTCTGGGCTTTCTGTCCTGTTCTTTTGATCTGTGTGTCTATTTTTTGTGCCAGTACCCTGCTGTTTTGATACCCATAGCTTTGTAGTATAACATGAAAACTGTAATTGTCATACCTCCTGCTTTTTCTTTTTCAGGATGGCTTAGGCTATTGTGGTCTTTTATGGTTCCTTACAAATTTTAGGATTGTTTGTTCTAGCTCTGGGAAAAAAGAAATGCTGTTGGTATTTTGCTAGGGATTGCATTAAATCTGGGGACTGCTTGGGCGTATGGACATTTTAACAGTGTTTGTTCTTCCAGTCCATGAGCATGGAATGTTTTCCATTTCCGTATGTCTTCCTGAATTTCATTCATAAGTGTTCTCTAGTTTTCAGAGTACAGATCTTTTACTTCTTTGGTTAGGTTTATTCCTAGGTATCTTATGGGTTTTGGTGCAATTGTAAGTGGGATTGATTCCTTGATTTCTCTTTCTTCTGCCTCATTGTTAGTGTATAGAAATGCAACGGACTTCTCTGTGCATTGATTTTGTATCCTGTGACTTTGCTGAATTCCTGTATCAGTTCTAGCAATTTTTTTTGGAGTCTTTGGGTTTTCTACATAGAGTATCATGTCCTCTGAAAAGAGTGAAAGATTGACTTCTCCTTTGCCAATATTGGTGCCTCTATTTCTTTTTGTTGTCTGATTGCTGAGGCTAGGACTTCCAATAATGTGTTGAATGGCGGTGGTGAGAGTGGACATCCCTGTCATGTTCCTGACTCTAGGGGGAAAGCTCTAAGTTTTTCCCCATTGAGGATGATATTCACTGTGGGTTTTTTACTATAGCTTTTATGTTGTGGTATACTCCCTCTATCCTACCACTGCAGAGAGTCTTTGTCAATAAAGGATGTTGTATTTTGTCAAATGCTTTTTCTGCATCTATTGAGAGGATCATATGGTTTTGTCCTTTCTTTTATTAACGTGGTGTATCACACTGATTGATTTGCAGATGTTGAACTACCCTTGCAGCCCAGGAATAAATCCCACTTGGTCATGGTGAATAATCCTTTGTTATTATTACTGTTAACAGTAATGTACTGTTGGATCCTATTGGCTAGGATTTATGTGAGAATTTTTGCATCCTTGTTCATCAGGGATATTGGTCTGTAATTCTCCTTTTTGGTGGGGTCTTTGTCTGGTTTGGGGATCAAGGTAATGCTGGCCTCCTAGAAAGAGTTTGGAAAATTTCCTTCCATTTCCATTTTTTGAAAGAGTATCAAAACAATAGGTATTAATTCTTCTTTAAATGTTTGGTAGAATTCCCTTGGGAAGCCATTTGCCCTGGGCTCTTGTTTGTTGGGAGATTTTTGATGACTGCTTCAATTTCCTTGCTGGTTATGGGTCTGTTCAGGTTTTCTATTTCTTCCTGGTTCAGTTTTGGTAGTTTATAGTCTCTAGGAATGCATCCATTTCTTCCAGATTGCCTAATTTGTAGGTATATAGTTGCTCATAATATTCTCTTATAATTGTTTGTATTTCTTTGGTGTTGGTTGTGATCTCTCCTCTTTCACTCATGATTTTATTTATTTGGGTCCTTTCTCTTTTCTTTTTGAGAAGTCTGGCTAGGGTTTATTAATATTATTAATTCTTTCAAAGAACCAGCTCCTAGTTTTGTTGATCTGTTCTACTGTTCTTTTGGTTTCTATTTCATTGATTTCCGCTCTGATCTTTATTATTTCTCTTCTCTTGCTGGGTTTAGGCTTTATTTGCTGTTCTTTCTCCAGCTCCTTTAGCTGTAAGCTTAGGATGTGTATTTGAGGGCTTTCTTCTTTCTCGAGAAAGGCTTGTATTGCTTCCCTTTTAGGACCACCTTTGCTGCATCCCAAAGATTTTGAACAGCTGTGTTTTCATTTCCATTTTCATTTCTTTCCATGAATTTTTTAAATTCTTCTTTAATTTCCTGGGTGACCCATTCATTCTTCAGTAGGAAGCTCTTTAGCCTTCATGCATTTGAGTTCTTTCCAATTTTCCTCTTGTGGTTGAGTTCCAGCTTCAAAGCACTATAGTCCAAAAATAGGCAGGGAATGATCCCAGTCTTTTGGTACTGGTTGAGACCTGATTTGTGACCCAGTATCTGGTCTATTCTGGAGAATGTTTTATGTGCACTCGAGAAGAATGTGTATTCTGCTGCTTTGGGATGGAATGTTCTGAATATACTGTGAAGTTGAATATACTGTGAAGTCCATCTGGTCCAGTGTGTCAGTGAAAGCCCTAGTTTCCTTGTTCATCTTCTGCTTAGATGATCTGTCCATTGCTGTGACTGGGGTGTTAGAGTTCCCTACTATTATTGTGTTATTATCCATCTGGTTCTTTGGTTTTGTTACTAATTGGCTTATATAATTGGCTGCTGCCAAGTAAGAGGCATAGATATTTACAATTGTTAGATCTTCTTGTTGGATAGACCTTTTAATTATGATATAGTGTCCTTCCTCATTCCTAATTACAGACTTTGGTTTGAAATCTAATTAATCTGATGTAAGGATTGCCATCACGGCTTTCTTCTGATCCATTAACATGATAAATGGTTTTCCACCCCTTCACGTTCCATCTAGAGTTGTCTTTGGGCCTAAAATGAGTCTCTTGCAGACAGCATATCTATGGGTTTGCTTTTTTATCCAATCTGTTACGTTCTGTCTTTTGATTGGGACATTTAGCCCATTTACATTCAGAGTAACTATTGAAAGATATGAATTTTGTGTCATTGTATTAACTGTAAAGTGGCAGTTCATGTAGATTGTCTCAACTCCTTTCTGGTCTTTGTTACTTTTGGGCTCTCTCTTTGCTCAAGGAATTCCCTTTAATATTCCTTGCAGGGCTAGTTTAGTGTTCACAAGTTCCTTTAGTTTTTGTTTCTCCTGGAAACTCTATCTCTCCTTCTATTCTGAATGACAGCCTTGCTGGACTGAGTCTTCTTGGCTGCATATTTTTCCCATTTAGCACCCTGAATATATCCTGCCAGTCCTTTCTAGCCTGCCAGGTCTGTGTGGATAGGTTTCTGCCAGCATTATGTTTCTACACTGGTAGGTTAAGGACCTTTTGTCCCAAACTGCTTTCATGATTTTCTCTTTATCTTTGAATTTGCATGCTTCACTAGTGTATGTCGAAGTGTTGTCCTATTCTTACTGATTTTGAGGGGGGTTCTCTGGCTTCCTGGACTTGATGTCTGTTTCTATTCAATTAGGGAAGTTCTCAGCTATAATTTGTTCAAAGAAACCTTCTGCCCCTCTCTCCTTCTCTTCGTCTTCTGGGACCCTTACTATCCGGATATTATTTCACTTATGGAATTACTAAGTTCTTGACATCTCCCTTCGAGATTCAGCAGTGGTCTTTTTCTCTTCTTTTCAGCTTCCTTGCTTTCCATCGTTTTATCCTCTATATCACTGACTGACTCTCTCTTCTGCCTCACTTATTCTCAATTTTGGAGCCTCTGTTTGGGACTGCATCTCCGCAATAGCATTTTTAATTTGGGCCTGACTAGATTTTAGTTCTTTGAATTCTACAGGAAGGGATTTTCTAGTGTCTTCTATGCTTTTTCAAGCCCAGCTAGTATCTCTATAATCTTTGTTTTAAGTTCTACTTCAGACATCTTATATCCATATTGATTAAATCCCTAGCAGTGAGTACTACCTCCTGTTCTGTCTTTTAGGGTGAATTTTTCTGTCTCATCATTTTGTCCAGAAAAGAATAGAAGAAAGAAAGAGAAAAGACAATAATAATAAAAACAACAGAAAGAAAAACAGACACAAAACAAAAGAAGGAAAAATCAAACAAGAAACAAAACAAAAAACTAGATATTGGGTGTGTTTTGGTCTGCTTGCTACAGGAAACTAGATCTTGAAATAGGAAAGAAAGCAAAACTTACAGATATCCATAAATAAAATAAAAAACAATGAAAAGAAACCAAAAATAAAATATAGAGATTGTATATATATAATAAAAACTTAAGAAGAATAAAAAAGTATTGAAAGAATAAGAAAATAGCTGAAAACATAACACTGAAGGACTAAGGAATAAAAATAATAATAAAAGACCCCATAAATGCTATATACTGTTTTCCCCAGGAGCTGAAGCTTTGCAGTTCTCTATGATGTGTAAACTTGGTGTTTGAGTGATGTTCCTGCTGGTCTCTGGGGGAGGCCCCTGTTGTGCTGATTCTCAGGTGTCCTTCCCAAGTGGGATTTGCTCTCCTTTGCCAGGGGGCTGGGCTCAGTGTACGTGACTCCAGACTCCACTGGGTGCCTCTCCTTTGTTCCTTTTAGGCTCTCAGCACCAATGGGCGGATGAAAATGGCATAGCCCAGATCTCTAGCCCCAGAGCTGAAAGCTCCACCCCCCACTCTTCAGTGCACCCTCACAGACAAGCAACCACTCTTGTCTCCATGGTTTCCCTCCTCACTTTGTGTTCACCCGGCATCTGACTCAGCGTTTTTATCTCAGGCCCACCAATCCTCCAAACTTTCAGGACTGTTGTGGTGGGCACCTCCCCCACTCCTCCAGGGGGAGGGATGGGGTCTCCCCATGTTTCTGCAGCCTGCTGGGCCCCTGCTGGGAGAGCAGTCTCCTGACCCTGTTCCTGATTTCTGGCAACCCGGAGGAGAAAGCCGGCACCAGGATCACTGTTTGCAGCCGGCTTCTCTGCTCCGATGTTTGGGAACTCTGCAGCACTCAGGTGCCCCCGTTCTTTCTGTGACCTTGGGGATCCCGAGACCACCTGGGATTCTGCCCTGCTTTGCCACCTGAGTGCTTTTCAGCCAGGGACATCCCTACCAGAGCAGACTTCTGAAAGTTCTGATTTTGTGCTCTACTACTTATAAGACTTTGTGGTAGCCTCTTTAAGCAGGCTACCTCCTCTTGCCCTGTCCTCCTATATATAACCCCAGATTCAAGGCCAAGGAAAGGTGTGGAGAGCAGAGGGAGTTAAGAAAGGATTTCACGAGATGGGCAAGAGCCTATACTGACTTTCCTCGTGGCAGACGTTTGCTTTGGTTTGGTGTAGACTCCGCCGAACAACCACAGACTGCAGCTGCAGAGTCCGAGAAGCCGTGTCGGCTCTAGTCCCAGGCCAACAGTCCAAGTTGTCTGATGGGTCCTGCTCTTGCCCATTGGCCAGGCCCGTGTGTCTCCCTTGCTGCCCCCCCGTCTCCCCACAACCAGAAAGACCCATGACTTGAAATAGCTGGAGCCAGACTGGCTCCTGCAAGACAAAGAACACAGACACAGACACAAAGGGAGAGAAAAGGGCCGAAGCCCAGGGCGCCACCGTGCGTGGCCAGGCCCAGAGCCCAGCTGCACCCCAACACACTTCACACCAGCCAGTTCTTGCTTCATCTCCTCCAGTAAAGTGCTCCCTTGTTGAGCTTTATTTTATTCTGTAAAAATAAGCCTTATTGTAAAACAGAGTGAAATCCACAGACCAAACCTCAAAACCTCTGGGGCAACCAGATCCCCTAAATGGATAAAGTCACTGCTGATGGGACAGGCCCTTCAACTCATTGCTTCTGCCGCTTGTTTCTTAAGAACATGGTTCCAATGAGGCCCATGGCTGCCAAGCCGGCTCCTGCGATGCCAGCCGTCACAACGGCGTCCTGGACCTGCGGGAGAACAGGGGAGGTCACAGTCAATCGGGAATCCGAGGACGGGCTGTACACTCAACAAGAACATTCAGCTTAAGGACACTCATGTGCCCCTTGGCCCACTTGACAAACTCAGGAGTCAACAAATATTGGCCGGGAAATGGGGAGAAGAGGACTGGATGGGGAAAGAGCCGCTGCATGGAGCCAGTAGGCCAGGGTTGTACATGGGCCCCAGGGCAACTCGATCCACTCTGCAGGTATTTAAAGCACCTAAATCCCCAGAGGGCGATTGTGGAAAGGACAAGAAGATGAAGGCAGGAGGGCTGAGATCCTGGCGGCCATCAGGGAGCCCTTGCAGCCAGTGTGAGGTGGCGCAGGAACGGCTCTCGAATGCTGACCATGTCACACCTGTGCCCCCCGGGAGAGCAAGGACCTCACGTGTGTCACTTGTCTTGTTCCTCGCTGCATCCCCCACACCTGGTTCTGCCAGGCACAGGGGTGCTCTTTACGAGTCCTTAAAGAAATGACCCAACTTGGAGTAGTAGTGATGCTCTACTTTAAATGATTAGCCCTGCAGGTGCTGCAGTTCAGTGTATGGAGCAGAGACTCTAGAGAAGGACAGCTGGGGTTGGAATCCTGCCTCTGCCACTTATTAGCTGTGTGTTTTGGGGACAACAAACGTGGAAGCCAGAAGGGGTGGGCGTGGAAGCTGTGCCCCACATCTTCCATAAATGAATCCTTGAGCTCATACATAAGCCTGTGCACCTTGAGCATCCCTTGCCTAAGTGCTCTCTGGGGCCTCAGGACACCTGTCCTGGTGCTGGCTTGGCCCACACTCTTCTTGACATCTTTGGGGGCATCAAGAGCTGCCTTTAGGGTGGATCCTAGAGGTGAAGGATCCTAGAAGGCCTCCATCCAACTCCTCCTCCTACACATGGGGAAACTGAGGCCCAGGGAGGGAGTGACCTGTCCACAGACCCCAAGTGGTTCAGAAGCTGATTGAAGATTTGAGTTTAGACATCCTGACTCCCAGCCAGTGGGTCATGGTGATTCTCCCCTCTGGCTGCACAGCTTGGTCACCACCACCCCAAGGGGACCTCCAGGAGGAAGAAGGATCGTCTCAAAGAGGGCCTTACCTGCCTGCTATTGGGCTCGCCATATCTCAGGTTGGTGACAAAGTGCTCACAGTTCTTGTGCAGAAGACTATATTCCATCTCCTGACCAACCATCTGCTTCGCAGAGTAAATGATCTGGTTCACAGGTCGTGGTCTATACCTGTTGTCCAAGAGGTTGTTGACCTTATAGCAGCAGCCTCCCACCACATCCCGTAGGAGCTCCCGTTTTACTACCGCTCTGCTGCTCAGAACGGAGAACGTGATGCTGGAGCGAACCCACGGGATCTCACCTGGAATCAAAGACACGACCATGGTCATCGGGAGCTGCAGGGGAAGGCGAGAGAGGGAGGGAGAAGGGGCAGGACGAGAAAGAGGACCGAGGGAGTACACTACTGAGGTCTTGCTGTTTGTCTTTTCACAAATGTGATCGGAGCATTCATAGATTTTGCTCTTTTTACTGAACAAGCTGTGAATTTTTTTTAAGTCAGTGAATGTCATGATTGCTTATGCAGTCATTGTATTCCATCATATGGATATAGATCATCTATCTGGTCAAGCCCTATTATTGAACATGTTGGTTGTTCAAAGATTTTGCCATTTTCAACAGTGATAGTCAAGTATTTACTATTTGTTCAATTTTGCACACTCACACATTTCAGAAAGAGATCAAATTTATTTGATCACACACTGTTTACTTTCCATATATTTCTTCATCGTCTTTAACTTTGGAGGTAAATATTATCTCCATTTGATAATCCAAATATTGGTGTTGGGGGAGGTCATCTAGAAAATGTGACCACCAGTAACCATGAGTTCACCCCCAGCAGTCAGAGGCTCCTCATCTCATCCCACCCTTGGAATGTGCATTCTACTTGACTTCCCTGCCTCCAGACCTATGGGACTCCACTCGATTACCCAGTGGAATATGGATGTATGGTCTGCTCAAGCAAGCTCAGGGAGTAACCAACTCAGTTTTCCCTTGCTCGGCACTTTCTTCTAATTGTTCTCATGATGGTAACAAATATTTTGAAAATAATATTTCCAACAGTGCTTACTTGGAGAAGTCAGATGGATCACATAACCGTCTCCCACATAGATGGCCCAGTGCTCATAGCCAATGCGGAAAATCTGGATCAGGTCTCCAGGTTTGGGTTCTTCACAAAACTGCAACACAAAAACCCAAAATGGTGTAGGCGGGCTTCTAGGCAACAGTAGAGTGCCCAGCTGGGGCCCTGCAGCTTGGCCTGGGGACCCCACTGGGTGATGTTCATCACCTGGTGAGAGCCTGCAGTGGGAGGGAACTCCTGGCCCCTGTGGGGTCCTCATCCTGCTGTCACTTTAGAGATTCTGCACAACCAGGGGCTAGAAGCCTAGAGAAAAGGTCCTTGTGGAATGGGAGAGTGGAGATTGGTTCGGTGTGTGCATATTATTATGTTTGTATGTGCACACGCTCCAGTTGTATGGGATATGTGTGAGGGAGCACATGTGTGTATATGTACATGTGGTACATGTGTGTCTGTGTGTTGTGTTCCCTGAACATGCACATCAGCATGTGCTGTATATGTTGGGTTTGCATGTGCATGTCGGGTATACTCATGTGCACAGCTGTTGTGTTGTGTATGGGGTTTTCGCTTGTGTGTTGGGCATTGTTATGCACACATCTGTGTATGTGTATATGTTGGGTTTGCGTGTGTGTGTTGTGCGTACTCATGTGCACACCGAGGCTGTGAGCAAGCGTGTGCAGGTGCTTTGTAGACCTGCTCCCGAGCCTGCAGACATGACCACCTGCATGGAAACCTCTTCACTGAGCCTGGGAGCCCCAGACCCTCCCCAGCAGTCAGGGAGGAGAATCACCAGCTTCTCTACCCTTCACAGGTACTCCTCACACCTCTTGACCCTCACTGTCCATGGCCACACCAGGTACCTACTCCTCCTCAGATACTGTCCCCTCCAGCCCCAGGACACCCGCCCTTGGAGATGCCAACCTGAGAGACATTGGCTGATGGCATCATCCGGGGACCTGAGGCTCTGGAGGGCTGGCAGCTTCTGACCCTGAGGGGGCTTGCTCCCAGCGTGCACATGGCAGGCCTCAGTGGGCACTTTTCCAGAAGCCCCAGGGGAAGGAAGCATCACCCTATTTTCAGGTGGGTAACTGAGGATCAGAGAGAGAGGGGCTTGGCCAAGAACACTCAGCTCGGCAGCACTGAGCTGCCTCTTCTCCCCCTGATTTGGCCCTGCCTCCCCGCCCTCCACACCCATTTCCTGCTCCTCAGTGCCCCCCACTCCACCCCTGGAGCCACAGCATCTGATTTGAGAATGTTTCAGTTTCTCTCCCTTTCTGTGCCTGCTCTCAGCAAACCACAAACCTCTATCTCTCATTGCAGGCCACCTAATCAGAGACTTGGGGTCAGCTTTCCTTAGCCCTCTTTGTCATGCCAATATCCAACAACCAACGCTGACCCTGGGAGTTTCTCCTGAATTCATCACCTGGTCCATTTCCCACCCTCTGAATTCATTAGGGAAGTCTCCGGGCCTGCCCCTGAGATCTCACAGCCTTTGTTTTTCTTTTAATTTTATTTATACAATAATCTCCACACCCAACATGGGGCTTGACTCACAACCCTGAGTTCAAGAGTTGCATGCTCTTCCGACTTAGCCAGACAGGTGCTGGGACCCTACATCTTCTTGACATTCGCCCCCCTCTTACCAGGCCATCTGTGCATGCTACCCCACACCCAGTCTCCCCAAGACCCACTGTGGCTTTCCGAAAGGGCACATCTGGCCATGAACTTCCCCTGGAATCAGGGCACGGGGCATGCACTGTGGGCAGCTCACAGGCCCTCCAACCAGCCCTTCCTCAGCCCTCCTCACCCTCCCTGCCCTCTGGCCCTAGGCTGACTGGCTTGCCCTTCTCCTCACCACAGAGCTGGCCCCTGCCTCTGATCCTCTGCACATCTGGCTGTCTCGGTCACAGTCACCTTCCCCACCCCTCCTTTCTTCTTCTCCCCCACACAGACATCCCTCTCTGAGCAGCTGCTCTCAGGGCCCCAGCCTGGCTCAGCTGCCACCTCCCCCTGCATGGATCACGTCCTGCTGGGATTCCCCGTGTCTGTCTGCACCTCCCTGTGGGCTCTGAGCTCCACTGGGGCAGGATCCTGTGTGCTGCCTAGCTCCTTCCTCCCCAGGATCCGGTGAAGGGCCTGGCCTGGAATGGGGGCAGAGGAAATCCACATGGAATAGGGGCTGGAGGGTCAGTGGGGCCACGACCCGGGGCCCAGTGACTCCCCCCTCCCTCAGCCAGGGCACGGCAAGCCCAGGGATGATCTCCACGTTGAAATCAAAAGGGGAGTTTTCACTCTGGGGTTCAATGTCTAACTAAGGTCAGGCCCAGACACCCTGCACAGTGGCTGGTGGCAGTAAAATGTGACGCCAGTCCCCGCCCGGAGGAGAGGCTGCCCAAGAAACAAAGGGCGTATTTGTTTTTTTTTTTTTTTCAGCAATCAGGCCCTCGGCCCACCCCAGGGGATCAGGTGAGTGCAGAGTGGGCCGCTCTTTCCCAGAATGGCCTCATTTCCTCGAATTGCATGATTCAACTCATTCCCCTTCAGTGCACCCCAACCACGCAGCCGGCCTGCCCCCGCCTGGACCGTGTGAATCTGCACATCAGGGCTGACAGGAAGGGAGATCAGAGTCAGAAGGCTGGAATGGAAGCATACTTACCGAGGCAGGACAGATGCCAAGGAGGGAAGAGGAGAGAGGAGGAGAGAGCTGAGCAGGCACTGAACTCCTGCCCCAGCAAGGGAGACAGGCACATTGGGGATCCCCTCACTTCCCAAGTCCTGGGACCCCCCCCTCGGCCCACACAACAGATACTTCCCAGCTCAGGCAGGCAAAGCTCCCACCCCAACCCAGCTCCTTCCCCGGGAGCTGAGCCAGAGGACAGGGGAGGCTCAGTGGGCCTGAAGCCCGCACTGTCCTGCAGGAAAAGGGACTTTGAAACAACAAGACTTTTCCATAACACCCTTCTAAAGCCTTTCCAAACTCTGGAGTTCAGAGTGCCCAACACCAGGAACCCACACGGAGGCCTTTATGAGAGGGGGGTGGCCTACTGCTGGAGAACTGCAAATAGAAAGTTATGCAAAAATAAAAAAAGGGACTTACCTCAGCCATGGTGGAGTCTGCTGTTCTCCTGCGTGTGGACGGACTTTTATACCAAAGGTGACGGTTTTGCTTTCAGTTTCCTTTAGACACTCTTTAATAACAACTACATAGGAAACTTTCCTTTTGAAAGTAGACTCCACACCCAGCATGGATCCCAAAGCAGGGCTCAAACTCCAACCCTGAGATCCAGACCTGATCTGAGGTCAAGAGTCACACACGTAAGAGTGAGCCACGCAGGTGAGCGTCCAGGGGCTGGCACCTCCAGCATCGGAGCAGGCTGGATGAGGGGCTCTGTGCCTCCTTGGTGAACACATGTTTCATAAATGCCTTGGTGTACGATGGAATTCGGTCTGAGGTTTGCTTCATTATCAGCTGAGGGTGAGGCCTGGGGAAATGGCTCACACGAAGACATGCAGACATTTCCATGGTTAGCATTAGGTGGCAACTGAAACCCAAGAAGTGCGCAGGAAGGTGACAGCCCAGCTGATTTGCCACAGTGGGGGCCAGGCTCCCGCTCACAGAGATGGTTCTGGGGCCACAGCAGGCCCCTCGCAGGTGCCGACCCCCTTCCTCTCCACGGGCTGGGCCCTCAGCACAGACAGGGGGTCTGGCCAGGTAAGGGGTGGGGGTGGAGGGACAGAGCCCTCTTGCTTCTCCCTCACTGCTCCTGATGCCTTCGAATGAAATGGACATTCCAGACATGAAAAAAAAATAAATACAAGAGTTGGAATCCAATCTTTTCTTTTCCAAATAGCAGCGGTAGGTTGGGGAATCAGATCTCACGAGAGATGGGAGCTCCAGCCTGGAATTCTGTCAAGGAATGTTCCCTGGGTCAAGACCCAGGCTCCCAGCAGCTCTCGAGGGGCCAAGATTCGTGCTGACCCACCCCCTCCCCGGGCGGCCCGGTCACCGGGGGTGCCGACCCTGCTTCGCTCGCCGGCAATTTCCCCCTGGTGAAACTTAACTCTGGGGCTGGGTTTGAGCCAGGTGACCCCGCCCCCTGGGGCAGAGCCGATTGGCCCAATGAGAGCACCTGACCCGTGGCAGCCAATCGGAAGGCTGAGCCGGGCGCAGCGCTGAGCCGGGTGCCGCGCTGAGCCGACCAGACTCTCCGGACCTGGACGCGGGGGACCGAGAGTGGTCCCCAGCGCGGAGAGGTGCAGCTGAGCTGACCCGACAAGACGGGCCACAGGAGGGGTGCGGGATCAGAGACTTGGGGGTCCGGGCAATCCCAAGGGGAGAGGAAGCAGGAGCCCTGGGCGCGAAAGCGAGCAGACAGGGGAAGGACGTGGAGAGCAGAGAGAGATACTAATCGTTCCTGGAAGGGAGAGGAGCAGGGAGGATGGGGTGCATTCCCTCACTGGTGGCGGCCTCACGTTCATGGCCCAGAGTCTCCCACACAGTTCCAGCCGCTGGCGCCCCAGGCCCTGGCAGGCCCACGGTTCCTGTTCTTATGCATCACAGGTGTGTCTCCCCTCCCCCTCGTGTATCCTCACACCGCGAAGAAGAATGCAGGCCTCCAGGGGCGCCTGGGTGGTGGCCCAGGGGGTTAGGCTCCCGCTCTTGGTTTTGGCTCAGGTCATGATCTCAGAGTCGTGAGATCAAGGCGGCTCAGGCCCCATTTGGGCTCCATGCTGGGTGTGGAGCCTGCTTAGGATTCTCTCTCCTTCATCCGCTCCCCCCCTCTCCGTGTGTGGGTTTGCTCTCTCTCTCTCAAAAAAACAAAAATAAACATACAGGCCTCCCAGAAGAAACGGGTGAAAAGCTGTGAATGGCTGGGGTGCACCTCAGTGTAGCCGGAGCCTGGATTAACTGCTCGGGCTGCTAGAAGGACATACCACCGACCAGGGGGCTTAAACAACAGACATTGATTTCTCTCATTTAGGTCTATAATCCGTTGAGTTCGTTGTTGTCTATGGTGTAAGAACGTGGTTCAGTTTCATTCTTTTCCATGTAGCTGACCAGTTTTCCCATCACCCATTTCTGAAGAGATTGTGTGTTTCCCGTTGCATAGCTTGCCTTTCTTGTCAAAAGTTAATTGATGATATAATGGTGGATTTGTGTCTGGGCTTTCTGTCCTGTTCTTTTGATCTGTGTGTCTATTTTTGTGCCAGTACCCTGCTGTTTTGATACCCATAGCTTTGTAGTATAACATGAAAACTGTAATTGTCATACGTCCTGCTTTTTCTTTTTCAGGATGGCTTAGGCTATTGTGGTCTTTTATGGTTCCTTACAAATTTTAGGATTGTTTGTTCTAGCTCTGGGAAAAAAGAAATGCTGTTGGTATTTTGCTAGGGATTGCATTAAATCTGGGGACTGCTTGGGCGTATGGACATTTTAACAGTGTTTGTTCTTCCAGTCCATGAGCATGGAATGTTTTCCATTTCCGTATGTCTTCCTGAATTTCATTCATAAGTGTTCTCTAGTTTTCAGAGTACAGATCTTTTACTTCTTTGGTTAGGTTTATTCCTAGGTATCTTATGGGTTTTGGTGCAATTGTAAGTGGGATTGATTCCTTGATTTCTCTTTCTTCTGCCTCATTGTTAGTGTATAGAAATGCAACGGACTTCTCTGTGCATTGATTTTGTATCCTGTGACTTTGCTGAATTCCTGTATCAGTTCTAGCAATTTTTTTTGGAGTCTTTGGGTTTTCTACATAGAGTATCATGTCCTCTGAAAAGAGTGAAAGATTGACTTCTCCTTTGCCAATATTGGTGCCTCTATTTCTTTTTGTTGTCTGATTGCTGAGGCTAGGACTTCCAATAATGTGTTGAATGGCGGTGGTGAGAGTGGACATCCCTGTCATGTTCCTGACTCTAGGGGGAAAGCTCTAAGTTTTTCCCCATTGAGGATGATATTCACTGTGGGTTTTTTACTATAGCTTTTATGTTGTGGTATACTCCCTCTATCCTACCACTGCAGAGAGTCTTTGTCAATAAAGGATGTTGTATTTTGTCAAATGCTTTTTCTGCATCTATTGAGAGGATCATATGGTTTTGTCCTTTCTTTTATTAACGTGGTGTATCACACTGATTGATTTGCAGATGTTGAACTACCCTTGCAGCCCAGGAATAAATCCCACTTGGTCATGGTGAATAATCCTTTGTTATTATTACTGTTAACAGTAATGTACTGTTGGATCCTATTGGCTAGGATTTATGTGAGAATTTTTGCATCCTTGTTCATCAGGGATATTGGTCTGTAATTCTCCTTTTTGGTGGGGTCTTTGTCTGGTTTGGGGATCAAGGTAATGCTGGCCTCCTAGAAAGAGTTTGGAAAATTTCCTTCCATTTCCATTTTTTGAAAGAGTATCAAAACAATAGGTATTAATTCTTCTTTAAATGTTTGGTAGAATTCCCTTGGGAAGCCATTTGCCCTGGGCTCTTGTTTGTTGGGAGATTTTTGATGACTGCTTCAATTTCCTTGCTGGTTATGGGTCTGTTCAGGTTTTCTATTTCTTCCTGGTTCAGTTTTGGTAGTTTATAGTCTCTAGGAATGCATCCATTTCTTCCAGATTGCCTAATTTGTAGGCATATAGTTGCTCATAATATTCTCTTATAATTGTTTGTATTTCTTTGGTGTTGGTTGTGATCTCTCCTCTTTCACTCATGATTTTATTTATTTGGGTCCTTTCTCTTTTCTTTTTGAGAAGTCTGGCTAGGGTTTATTAATATTATTAATTCTTTCAAAGAACCAGCTCCTAGTTTTGTTGATCTGTTCTACTGTTCTTTTGGTTTCTATTTCATTGATTTCCGCTCTGATCTTTATTATTTCTCTTCTCTTGCTGGGTTTAGGCTTTATTTGCTGTTCTTTCTCCAGCTCCTTTAGCTGTAAGCTTAGGATGTGTATTTGAGGGCTTTCTTCTTTCTCGAGAAAGGCTTGTATTGCTTCCCTTTTAGGACCACCTTTGCTGCATCCCAAAGATTTTGAACAGCTGTGTTTTCATTTCCATTTTCATTTCTTTCCATGAATTTTTTAAATTCTTCTTTAATTTCCTGGGTGACCCATTCATTCTTCAGTAGGAAGCTCTTTAGCCTTCATGCATTTGAGTTCTTTCCAATTTTCCTCTTGTGGTTGAGTTCCAGCTTCAAAGCACTATAGTCCAAAAATAGGCAGGGAATGATCCCAGTCTTTTGGTACTGGTTGAGACCTGATTTGTGACCCAGTATCTGGTCTATTCTGGAGAATGTTTTATGTGCACTCGAGAAGAATGTGTATTCTGCTGCTTTGGGATGGAATGTTCTGAATATACTGTGAAGTTGAATATACTGTGAAGTCCATCTGGTCCAGTGTGTCAGTGAAAGCCCTAGTTTCCTTGTTCATCTTCTGCTTAGATGATCTGTCCATTGCTGTGACTGGGGTGTTAGAGTTCCCTACTATTATTGTGTTATTATCCATCTGGTTCTTTGGTTTTGTTACTAATTGGCTTATATAATTGGCTGCTGCCAAGTAAGAGGCATAGATATTTACAATTGTTAGATCTTCTTGTTGGATAGACCTTTTAATTATGATATAGTGTCCTTCCTCATTCCTAATTACAGACTTTGGTTTGAAATCTAATTAATCTGATGTAAGGATTGCCATCACGGCTTTCTTCTGATCCATTAACATGATAAATGGTTTTCCACCCCTTCACGTTCCATCTAGAGTTGTCTTTGGGCCTAAAATGAGTCTCTTGCAGACAGCATATCTATGGGTTTGCTTTTTTATCCAATCTGTTACGTTCTGTCTTTTGATTGGGACATTTAGCCCATTTACATTCAGAGTAACTATTGAAAGATATGAATTTTGTGTCATTGTATTAACTGTAAAGTGGCAGTTCATGTAGATTGTCTCAACTCCTTTCTGGTCTTTGTTACTTTTGGGCTCTCTCTTTGCTCAAGGAATTCCCTTTAATATTCCTTGCAGGGCTAGTTTAGTGTTCACAAGTTCCTTTAGTTTTTGTTTCTCCTGGAAACTCTATCTCTCCTTCTATTCTGAATGACAGCCTTGCTGGACTGAGTCTTCTTGGCTGCATATTTTTCCCATTTAGCACCCTGAATATATCCTGCCAGTCCTTTCTAGCCTGCCAGGTCTGTGTGGATAGGTTTCTGCCAGCATTATGTTTCTACACTGGTAGGTTAAGGACCTTTTGTCCCAAACTGCTTTCATGATTTTCTCTTTATCTTTGAATTTGCATGCTTCACTAGTGTATGTCGAAGTGTTGTCCTATTCTTACTGATTTTGAGGGGGGTTCTCTGGCTTCCTGGACTTGATGTCTGTTTCTATTCAATTAGGGAAGTTCTCAGCTATAATTTGTTCAAAGAAACCTTCTGCCCCTCTCTCCTTCTCTTCGTCTTCTGGGACCCTTACTATCCGGATATTATTTCACTTATGGAATTACTGAGTTCTTGACATCTCCCTTCGAGATTCAGCAGTGGTCTTTTTCTCTTCTTTTCAGCTTCCTTGCTTTCCATCGTTTTATCCTCTATATCACTGACTGACTCTCTCTTCTGCCTCACTTATTCTCAATGTTGGAGCCTCTGTTTGGGACTGCATCTCCGCAATAGCATTTTTAATTTGGGCCTGACTAGATTTTAGTTCTTTGAATTCTACAGGAAGGGATTTTCTAGTGTCTTCTATGCTTTTTCAAGCCCAGCTAGTATCTCTATAATCTTTGTTTTAAGTTCTACTTCAGACATCTTATATCCATATTGATTAAATCCCTAGCAGTGAGTACTACCTCCTGTTCTGTCTTTTAGGGTGAATTTTTCTGTCTCATCATTTTGTCCAGAAAAGAATAGAAGAAAGAAAGAGAAAAGACAATAATAATAAAAACAACAGAAAGAAAAACAGACACAAAACAAAAGAAGGAAAAATCAAACAAGAAACAAAACAAAAAACTAGATATTGGGTGTGTTTTGGTCTGCTTGCTACAGGAAACTAGATCTTGAAATAGGAAAGAAAGCAAAACTTACAGATATCCATAAATAAAATAAAAAACAATGAAAAGAAACCAAAAATAAAATATAGAGATTGTATATATATAATAAAAACTTAAGAAGAATAAAAAAGTATTGAAAGAATAAGAAAATAGCTGAAAACATAACACTGAAGGACTAAGGAATAAAAATAATAATAAAAGACCCCATAAATGCTATATACTGTTTTCCCCAGGAGCTGAAGCTTTGCAGTTCTCTATGATGTGTAAACTTGGTGTTTGAGTGATGTTCCTGCTGGTCTCTGGGGGAGGCCCCTGTTGTGCTGATTCTCAGGTGTCCTTCCCAAGTGGGATTTGCTCTCCTTTGCCAGGGGGCTGGGCTCAGTGTACGTGACTCCAGACTCCACTGGGTGCCTCTCCTTTGTTCCTTTTAGGCTCTCAGCACCAATGGGCGGATGAAAATGGCATAGCCCAGATCTCTAGCCCCAGAGCTGAAAGCTCCACCCCCCACTCTTCAGTGCACCCTCACAGACAAGCAACCACTCTTGTCTCCATGGTTTCCCTCCTCACTTTGTGTTCACCCGGCATCTGACTCAGCGTTTTTATCTCAGGCCCACCAATCCTCCAAACTTTCAGGACTGTTGTGGTGGGCACCTCCCCCACTCCTCCAGGGGGAGGGATGGGGTCTCCCCATGTTTCTGCAGCCTGCTGGGCCCCTGCTGGGAGAGCAGTCTCCTGACCCTGTTCCTGATTTCTGGCAACCCGGAGGAGAAAGCCGGCACCAGGATCACTGTTTGCAGCCGGCTTCTCTGCTCCGATGTTTGGGAACTCTGCAGCACTCAGGTGCCCCCGTTCTTTCTGTGACCTTGGGGATCCCGAGACCACCTGGGATTCTGCCCTGCTTTGCCACCTGAGTGCTTTTCAGCCAGGGACATCCCTACCAGAGCAGACTTCTGAAAGTTCTGATTTTGTGCTCTACTACTTATAAGACTTTGTGGTAGCCTCTTTAAGCAGGCTACCTCCTCTTGCCCTGTCCTCCTATATATAACCCCAGATTCAAGGCCAAGGAAAGGTGTGGAGAGCAGAGGGAGTTAAGAAAGGATTTCACGAGATGGGCAAGAGCCTATACTGACTTTCCTCGTGGCAGACGTTTGCTTTGGTTTGGTGTAGACTCCGCCGAACAACCACAGACTGCAGCTGCAGAGTCCGAGAAGCCGTGTCGGCTCTAGTCCCAGGCCAACAGTCCAAGTTGTCTGATGGGTCCTGCTCTTGCCCATTGGCCAGGCCCGTGTGTCTCCCTTGCTGCCCCCCCGTCTCCCCACAACCAGAAAGACCCATGACTTGAAATAGCTGGAGCCAGACTGGCTCCTGCAAGACAAAGAACACAGACACAGACACAAAGGGAGAGAAAAGGGCCGAAGCCCAGGGCGCCACCGTGCGTGGCCAGGCCCAGAGCCCAGCTGCACCCCAACACACTTCACACCAGCCAGTTCTTGCTTCATCTCCTCCAGTAAAGTGCTCCCTTGTTGGGCTTTATTTTATTCTGTAAAAATAAGCCTTATTGTAAAACAGAGTGAAATCCACAGACCAAACCTCAAAACCTCTGGGGCAACCAGATCCCCTAAATGGATAAAGTCACTGCTGATGGGACAGGCCCTTCAACTCATTGCTTCTGCCGCTTGTTTCTTAAGAACATGGTTCCAATGAGGCCCATGGCTGCCAAGCCGGCTCCTGCGATGCCAGCCGTCACAACGGCGTCCTGGACCTGCGGGAGAACAGGGGAGGTCACAGTCAATCGGGAATCCGAGGACGGGCTGTACACTCAACAAGAACATTCAGCTTAAGGACACTCATGTGCCCCTTGGCCCACTTGACAAACTCAGGAGTCAACAAATATTGGCCGGGAAATGGGGAGAAGAGGACTGGATGGGGAAAGAGCCGCTGCATGGAGCCAGTAGGCCAGGGTTGTACATGGGCCCCAGGGCAACTCGATCCACTCTGCAGGTATTTAAAGCACCTAAATCCCCAGAGGGCGATTGTGGAAAGGACAAGAAGATGAAGGCAGGAGGGCTGAGATCCTGGCGGCCATCAGGGAGCCCTTGCAGCCAGTGTGAGGTGGCGCAGGAACGGCTCTCGAATGCTGACCATGTCACACCTGTGCCCCCCGGGAGAGCAAGGACCTCACGTGTGTCACTTGTCTTGTTCCTCGCTGCATCCCCCACACCTGGTTCTGCCAGGCACAGGGGTGCTCTTTACGAGTCCTTAAAGAAATGACCCAACTTGGAGTAGTAGTGATGCTCTACTTTAAATGATTAGCCCTGCAGGTGCTGCAGTTCAGTGTATGGAGCAGAGACTCTAGAGAAGGACAGCTGGGGTTGGAATCCTGCCTCTGCCACTTATTAGCTGTGTGTTTTGGGGACAACAAACGTGGAAGCCAGAAGGGGTGGGCGTGGAAGCTGTGCCCCACATCTTCCATAAATGAATCCTTGAGCTCATACATAAGCCTGTGCACCTTGAGCATCCCTTGCCTAAGTGCTCTCTGGGGCCTCAGGACACCTGTCCTGGTGCTGGCTTGGCCCACACTCTTCTTGACATCTTTGGGGGCATCAAGAGCTGCCTTTAGGGTGGATCCTAGAGGTGAAGGATCCTAGAAGGCCTCCATCCAACTCCTCCTCCTACACATGGGGAAACTGAGGCCCAGGGAGGGAGTGACCTGTCCACAGACCCCAAGTGGTTCAGAAGCTGATTGAAGATTTGAGTTTAGACATCCTGACTCCCAGCCAGTGGGTCATGGTGATTCTCCCCTCTGGCTGCACAGCTTGGTCACCACCACCCCAAGGGGACCTCCAGGAGGAAGAAGGATCGTCTCAAAGAGGGCCTTACCTGCCTGCTATTGGGCTCGCCATATCTCAGGTTGGTGACAAAGTGCTCACAGTTCTTGTGCAGAAGACTATATTCCATCTCCTGACCAACCATCTGCTTCGCAGAGTAAATGATCTGGTTCACAGGTCGTGGTCTATACCTGTTGTCCAAGAGGTTGTTGACCTTATAGCAGCAGCCTCCCACCACATCCCGTAGGAGCTCCCGTTTTACTACCGCTCTGCTGCTCAGAACGGAGAACGTGATGCTGGAGCGAACCCACGGGATCTCACCTGGAATCAAAGACACGACCATGGTCATCGGGAGCTGCAGGGGAAGGCGAGAGAGGGAGGGAGAAGGGGCAGGACGAGAAAGAGGACCGAGGGAGTACACTACTGAGGTCTTGCTGTTTGTCTTTTCACAAATGTGATCGGAGCATTCATAGATTTTGCTCTTTTTACTGAACAAGCTGTGAATTTTTTTTAAGTCAGTGAATGTCATGATTGCTTATGCAGTCATTGTATTCCATCATATGGATATAGATCATCTATCTGGTCAAGCCCTATTATTGAACATGTTGGTTGTTCAAAGATTTTGCCATTTTCAACAGTGATAGTCAAGTATTTACTATTTGTTCAATTTTGCACACTCACACATTTCAGAAAGAGATCAAATTTATTTGATCACACACTGTTTACTTTCCATATATTTCTTCATCGTCTTTAACTTTGGAGGTAAATATTATCTCCATTTGATAATCCAAATATTGGTGTTGGGGGAGGTCATCTAGAAAATGTGACCACCAGTAACCATGAGTTCACCCCCAGCAGTCAGAGGCTCCTCATCTCATCCCACCCTTGGAATGTGCATTCTACTTGACTTCCCTGCCTCCAGACCTATGGGACTCCACTCGATTACCCAGTGGAATATGGATGTATGGTCTGCTCAAGCAAGCTCAGGGAGTAACCAACTCAGTTTTCCCTTGCTCGGCACTTTCTTCTAATTGTTCTCATGATGGTAACAAATATTTTGAAAATAATATTTCCAACAGTGCTTACTTGGAGAAGTCAGATGGATCACATAACCGTCTCCCACATAGATGGCCCAGTGCTCATAGCCAATGCGGAAAATCTGGATCAGGTCTCCAGGTTTGGGTTCTTCACAAAACTGCAACACAAAAACCCAAAATGGTGTAGGCGGGCTTCTAGGCAACAGTAGAGTGCCCAGCTGGGGCCCTGCAGCTTGGCCTGGGGACCCCACTGGGTGATGTTCATCACCTGGTGAGAGCCTGCAGTGGGAGGGAACTCCTGGCCCCTGTGGGGTCCTCATCCTGCTGTCACTTTAGAGATTCTGCACAACCAGGGGCTAGAAGCCTAGAGAAAAGGTCCTTGTGGAATGGGAGAGTGGAGATTGGTTCGGTGTGTGCATATTATTATGTTTGTATGTGCACACGCTCCAGTTGTATGGGATATGTGTGAGGGAGCACATGTGTGTATATGTACATGTGGTACATGTGTGTCTGTGTGTTGTGTTCCCTGAACATGCACATCAGCATGTGCTGTATATGTTGGGTTTGCATGTGCATGTCGGGTATACTCATGTGCACAGCTGTTGTGTTGTGTATGGGGTTTTCGCTTGTGTGTTGGGCATTGTTATGCACACATCTGTGTATGTGTATATGTTGGGTTTGCGTGTGTGTGTTGTGCGTACTCATGTGCACACCGAGGCTGTGAGCAAGCGTGTGCAGGTGCTTTGTAGACCTGCTCCCGAGCCTGCAGACATGACCACCTGCATGGAAACCTCTTCACTGAGCCTGGGAGCCCCAGACCCTCCCCAGCAGTCAGGGAGGAGAATCACCAGCTTCTCTACCCTTCACAGGTCCTCCTCACACCTCTTGACCCTCACTGTCCATGGCCACACCAGGTACCTACTCCTCCTCAGATACTGTCCCCTCCAGCCCCAGGACACCCGCCCTTGGAGATGCCAACCTGAGAGACATTGGCTGATGGCATCATCCGGGGACCTGAGGCTCTGGAGGGCTGGCAGCTTCTGACCCTGAGGGGGCTTGCTCCCAGCGTGCACATGGCAGGCCTCAGTGGGCACTTTTCCAGAAGCCCCAGGGGAAGGAAGCATCACCCTATTTTCAGGTGGGTAACTGAGGATCAGAGAGAGAGGGGCTTGGCCAAGAACACTCAGCTCGGCAGCACTGAGCTGCCTCTTCTCCCCCTGATTTGGCCCTGCCTCCCCGCCCTCCACACCCATTTCCTGCTCCTCAGTGCCCCCCACTCCACCCCTGGAGCCACAGCATCTGATTTGAGAATGTTTCAGTTTCTCTCCCTTTCTGTGCCTGCTCTCAGCAAACCACAAACCTCTATCTCTCATTGCAGGCCACCTAATCAGAGACTTGGGGTCAGCTTTCCTTAGCCCTCTTTGTCATGCCAATATCCAACAACCAACGCTGACCCTGGGAGTTTCTCCTGAATTCATCACCTGGTCCATTTCCCACCCTCTGAATTCATTAGGGAAGTCTCCGGGCCTGCCCCTGAGATCTCACAGCCTTTGTTTTTCTTTTAATTTTATTTATACAATAATCTCCACACCCAACATGGGGCTTGACTCACAACCCTGAGTTCAAGAGTTGCATGCTCTTCCGACTTAGCCAGACAGGTGCTGGGACCCTACATCTTCTTGACATTCGCCCCCCTCTTACCAGGCCATCTGTGCATGCTACCCCACACCCAGTCTCCCCAAGACCCACTGTGGCTTTCCGAAAGGGCACATCTGGCCATGAACTTCCCCTGGAATCAGGGCACGGGGCATGCACTGTGGGCAGCTCACAGGCCCTCCAACCAGCCCTTCCTCAGCCCTCCTCACCCTCCCTGCCCTCTGGCCCTAGGCTGACTGGCTTGCCCTTCTCCTCACCACAGAGCTGGCCCCTGCCTCTGATCCTCTGCACATCTGGCTGTCTCGGTCACAGTCACCTTCCCCACCCCTCCTTTCTTCTTCTCCCCCACACAGACATCCCTCTCTGAGCAGCTGCTCTCAGGGCCCCAGCCTGGCTCAGCTGCCACCTCCCCCTGCATGGATCACGTCCTGCTGGGATTCCCCGTGTCTGTCTGCACCTCCCTGTGGGCTCTGAGCTCCACTGGGGCAGGATCCTGTGTGCTGCCTAGCTCCTTCCTCCCCAGGATCCGGTGAAGGGCCTGGCCTGGAATGGGGGCAGAGGAAATCCACATGGAATAGGGGCTGGAGGGTCAGTGGGGCCACGACCCGGGGCCCAGTGACTCCCCCCTCCCTCAGCCAGGGCACGGCAAGCCCAGGGATGATCTCCACGTTGAAATCAAAAGGGGAGTTTTCACTCTGGGGTTCAATGTCTAACTAAGGTCAGGCCCAGACACCCTGCACAGTGGCTGGTGGCAGTAAAATGTGACGCCAGTCCCCGCCCGGAGGAGAGGCTGCCCAAGAAACAAAGGGCGTATTTGTTTTTTTTTTTTTTTTCAGCAATCAGGCCCTCGGCCCACCCCAGGGGATCAGGTGAGTGCAGAGTGGGCCGCTCTTTCCCAGAATGGCCTCATTTCCTCGAATTGCATGATTCAACTCATTCCCCTTCAGTGCACCCCAACCACGCAGCCGGCCTGCCCCCGCCTGGACCGTGTGAATCTGCACATCAGGGCTGACAGGAAGGGAGATCAGAGTCAGAAGGCTGGAATGGAAGCATACTTACCGAGGCAGGACAGATGCCAAGGAGGGAAGAGGAGAGAGGAGGAGAGAGCTGAGCAGGCACTGAACTCCTGCCCCAGCAAGGGAGACAGGCACATTGGGGATCCCCTCACTTCCCAAGTCCTGGGACCCCCCCCTCGGCCCACACAACAGATACTTCCCAGCTCAGGCAGGCAAAGCTCCCACCCCAACCCAGCTCCTTCCCCGGGAGCTGAGCCAGAGGACAGGGGAGGCTCAGTGGGCCTGAAGCCCGCACTGTCCTGCAGGAAAAGGGACTTTGAAACAACAAGACTTTTCCATAACACCCTTCTAAAGCCTTTCCAAACTCTGGAGTTCAGAGTGCCCAACACCAGGAACCCACACGGAGGCCTTTATGAGAGGGGGGTGGCCTACTGCTGGAGAACTGCAAATAGAAAGTTATGCAAAAATAAAAAAAGGGACTTACCTCAGCCATGGTGGAGTCTGCTGTTCTCCTGCGTGTGGACGGACTTTTATACCAAAGGTGACGGTTTTGCTTTCAGTTTCCTTTAGACACTCTTTAATAACAACTACATAGGAAACTTTCCTTTTGAAAGTAGACTCCACACCCAGCATGGATCCCAAAGCAGGGCTCAAACTCCAACCCTGAGATCCAGACCTGATCTGAGGTCAAGAGTCACACACGTAAGAGTGAGCCACGCAGGTGAGCGTCCAGGGGCTGGCACCTCCAGCATCGGAGCAGGCTGGATGAGGGGCTCTGTGCCTCCTTGGTGAACACATGTTTCATAAATGCCTTGGTGTACGATGGAATTCGGTCTGAGGTTTGCTTCATTATCAGCTGAGGGTGAGGCCTGGGGAAATGGCTCACACGAAGACATGCAGACATTTCCATGGTTAGCATTAGGTGGCAACTGAAACCCAAGAAGTGCGCAGGAAGGTGACAGCCCAGCTGATTTGCCACAGTGGGGGGCCAGGCTCCCGCTCACAGAGATGGTTCTGGGGCCACAGCAGGCCCCTCGCAGGTGCCGACCCCCTTCCTCTCCACGGGCTGGGCCCTCAGCACAGACAGGGGGTCTGGCCAGGTAAGGGGTGGGGGTGGAGGGACAGAGCCCTCTTGCTTCTCCCTCACTGCTCCTGATGCCTTCGAATGAAATGGACATTCCAGACATGAAAAAAAAATAAATACAAGAGTTGGAATCCAATCTTTTCTTTTCCAAATAGCAGCGGTAGGTTGGGGAATCAGATCTCACGAGAGATGGGAGCTCCAGCCTGGAATTCTGTCAAGGAATGTTCCCTGGGTCAAGACCCAGGCTCCCAGCAGCTCTCGAGGGGGCCAAGATTCGTGCTGACCCACCCCCTCCCCGGGCGGCCCGGTCACCGGGGGTGCCGACCCTGCTTCGCTCGCCGGCAATTTCCCCCTGGTGAAACTTAACTCTGGGGCTGGGTTTGAGCCAGGTGACCCCGCCCCCTGGGGCAGAGCCGATTGGCCCAATGAGAGCACCTGACCCGTGGCAGCCAATCGGAAGGCTGAGCCGGGCGCAGCGCTGAGCCGGGTGCCGCGCTGAGCCGACCAGACTCTCCGGACCTGGACGCGGGGGACCGAGAGTGGTCCCCAGCGCGGAGAGGTGCAGCTGAGCTGACCCGACAAGACGGGCCACAGGAGGGGTGCGGGATCAGAGACTTGGGGGTCCGGGCAATCCCAAGGGGAGAGAGAGGAAGCAGGAGCCCTGGGCGCGAAAGCGAGCAGACAGGGGAAGGACGTGGAGAGCAGAGAGAGATACTAATCGTTCCTGGAAGGGAGAGGAGCAGGGAGGATGGGGTGCCTTCCCTCACTGGTGGCGGCCTCACGTTCATGGCCCAGAGTCTCCCACACAGTTCCAGCCGCTGGCGCCCCAGGCCCTGGCAGGCCCACGGTTCCTGTTCTTATGCATCACAGGTGTGTCTCCCCTCCCCCTCGTGTATCCTCACACCGCGAAGAAGAATGCAGGCCTCCAGGGGCGCCTGGGTGGTGGCCCAGGGGGTTAGGCTCCCGCTCTTGGTTTTGGCTCAGGTCATGATCTCAGAGTCGTGAGATCAAGGCGGCTCAGGCCCCATTTGGGCTCCATGCTGGGTGTGGAGCCTGCTTAGGATTCTCTCTCCTTCATCCGCTCCCCCCCTCTCCGTGTGTGGGTTTGCTCTCTCTCTCTCAAAAAAACAAAAATAAACATACAGGCCTCCCAGAAGAAACGGGTGAAAAGCTGTGAATGGCTGGGGTGCACCTCAGTGTAGCCGGAGCCTGGATTAACTGCTCCGGCTGCTAGAAGGACATACCACCGACCAGGGGGCTTAAACAACAGACATTGATTTCTCTCATTTAGGTCTATAATCCGTTGAGTTCGTTGTTGTCTATGGTGTAAGAACGTGGTTCAGTTTCATTCTTTTCCATGTAGCTGACCAGTTTTCCCATCACCCATTTCTGAAGAGATTGTGTGTTTCCCGTTGCATAGCTTGCCTTTCTTGTCAAAAGTTAATTGATGATATAATGGTGGATTTGTGTCTGGGCTTTCTGTCCTGTTCTTTTGATCTGTGTGTCTATTTTTGTGCCAGTACCCTGCTGTTTTGATACCCATAGCTTTGTAGTATAACATGAAAACTGTAATTGTCATACGTCCTGCTTTTTCTTTTTCAGGATGGCTTAGGCTATTGTGGTCTTTTATGGTTCCTTACAAATTTTAGGATTGTTTGTTCTAGCTCTGGGAAAAAAGAAATGCTGTTGGTATTTTGCTAGGGATTGCATTAAATCTGGGGACTGCTTGGGCGTATGGACATTTTAACAGTGTTTGTTCTTCCAGTCCATGAGCATGGAATGTTTTCCATTTCCGTATGTCTTCCTGAATTTCATTCATAAGTGTTCTCTAGTTTTCAGAGTACAGATCTTTTACTTCTTTGGTTAGGTTTATTCCTAGGTATCTTATGGGTTTTGGTGCAATTGTAAGTGGGATTGATTCCTTGATTTCTCTTTCTTCTGCCTCATTGTTAGTGTATAGAAATGCAACGGACTTCTCTGTGCATTGATTTTGTATCCTGTGACTTTGCTGAATTCCTGTATCAGTTCTAGCAATTTTTTTTGGAGTCTTTGGGTTTTCTACATAGAGTATCATGTCCTCTGAAAAGAGTGAAAGATTGACTTCTCCTTTGCCAATATTGGTGCCTCTATTTCTTTTTGTTGTCTGATTGCTGAGGCTAGGACTTCCAATAATGTGTTGAATGGCGGTGGTGAGAGTGGACATCCCTGTCATGTTCCTGACTCTAGGGGGAAAGCTCTAAGTTTTTCCCCATTGAGGATGATATTCACTGTGGGTTTTTTACTATAGCTTTTATGTTGTGGTATACTCCCTCTATCCTACCACTGCAGAGAGTCTTTGTCAATAAAGGATGTTGTATTTTGTCAAATGCTTTTTCTGCATCTATTGAGAGGATCATATGGTTTTGTCCTTTCTTTTATTAACGTGGTGTATCACACTGATTGATTTGCAGATGTTGAACTACCCTTGCAGCCCAGGAATAAATCCCACTTGGTCATGGTGAATAATCCTTTGTTATTATTACTGTTAACAGTAATGTACTGTTGGATCCTATTGGCTAGGATTTATGTGAGAATTTTTGCATCCTTGTTCATCAGGGATATTGGTCTGTAATTCTCCTTTTTGGTGGGGTCTTTGTCTGGTTTGGGGATCAAGGTAATGCTGGCCTCCTAGAAAGAGTTTGGAAAATTTCCTTCCATTTCCATTTTTTGAAAGAGTATCAAAACAATAGGTATTAATTCTTCTTTAAATGTTTGGTAGAATTCCCTTGGGAAGCCATTTGCCCTGGGCTCTTGTTTGTTGGGAGATTTTTGATGACTGCTTCAATTTCCTTGCTGGTTATGGGTCTGTTCAGGTTTTCTATTTCTTCCTGGTTCAGTTTTGGTAGTTTATAGTCTCTAGGAATGCATCCATTTCTTCCAGATTGCCTAATTTGTAGGCATATAGTTGCTCATAATATTCTCTTATAATTGTTTGTATTTTTTTGGTGTTGGTTGTGATCTCTCCTCTTTCACTCATGATTTTATTTATTTGGGTCCTTTCTCTTTTCTTTTTGAGAAGTCTGGCTAGGGTTTATTAATATTATTAATTCTTTCAAAGAACCAGCTCCTAGTTTTGTTGATCTGTTCTACTGTTCTTTTGGTTTCTATTTCATTGATTTCCGCTCTGATCTTTATTATTTCTCTTCTCTTGCTGGGTTTAGGCTTTATTTGCTGTTCTTTCTCCAGCTCCTTTAGCTGTAAGCTTAGGATGTGTATTTGAGGGCTTTCTTCTTTCTCGAGAAAGGCTTGTATTGCTTCCCTTTTAGGACCACCTTTGCTGCATCCCAAAGATTTTGAACAGCTGTGTTTTCATTTCCATTTTCATTTCTTTCCATGAATTTTTTAAATTCTTCTTTAATTTCCTGGGTGACCCATTCATTCTTCAGTAGGAAGCTCTTTAGCCTTCATGCATTTGAGTTCTTTCCAATTTTCCTCTTGTGGTTGAGTTCCAGCTTCAAAGCACTATAGTCCAAAAATAGGCAGGGAATGATCCCAGTCTTTTGGTACTGGTTGAGACCTGATTTGTGACCCAGTATCTGGTCTATTCTGGAGAATGTTTTATGTGCACTCGAGAAGAATGTGTATTCTGCTGCTTTGGGATGGAATGTTCTGAATATACTGTGAAGTTGAATATACTGTGAAGTCCATCTGGTCCAGTGTGTCAGTGAAAGCCCTAGTTTCCTTGTTCATCTTCTGCTTAGATGATCTGTCCATTGCTGTGACTGGGGTGTTAGAGTTCCCTACTATTATTGTGTTATTATCCATCTGGTTCTTTGGTTTTGTTACTAATTGGCTTATATAATTGGCTGCTGCCAAGTAAGAGGCATAGATATTTACAATCGTTAGATCTTCTTGTTGGATAGACCTTTTAATTATGATATAGTGTCCTTCCTCATTCCTAATTACAGACTTTGGTTTGAAATCTAATTAATCTGATGTAAGGATTGCCATCACGGCTTTCTTCTGATCCATTAACATGATAAATGGTTTTCCACCCCTTCACGTTCCATCTAGAGTTGTCTTTGGGCCTAAAATGAGTCTCTTGCAGACAGCATATCTATGGGTTTGCTTTTTTATCCAATCTGTTACGTTCTGTCTTTTGATTGGGACATTTAGCCCATTTACATTCAGAGTAACTATTGAAAGATATGAATTTTGTGTCATTGTATTAACTGTAAAGTGGCAGTTCATGTAGATTGTCTCAACTCCTTTCTGGTCTTTGTTACTTTTGGGCTCTCTCTTTGCTCAAGGAATTCCCTTTAATATCCTTGCAGGGCTAGTTTAGTGTTCACAAGTTCCTTTAGTTTTTGTTTCTCCTGGAAACTCTATCTCTCCTTCTATTCTGAATGACAGCCTTGCTGGACTGAGTCTTCTTGGCTGCATATTTTTCCCATTTAGCACCCTGAATATATCCTGCCAGTCCTTTCTAGCCTGCCAGGTCTGTGTGGATAGGTTTCTGCCAGCATTATGTTTCTACACTGGTAGGTTAAGGACCTTTTGTCCCAAACTGCTTTCATGATTTTCTCTTTATCTTTGAATTTGCATGCTTCACTAGTGTATGTCGAAGTGTTGTCCTATTCTTACTGATTTTGAGGGGGGTTCTCTGGCTTCCTGGACTTGATGTCTGTTTCTATTCAATTAGGGAAGTTCTCAGCTATAATTTGTTCAAAGAAACCTTCTGCCCCTCTCTCCTTCTCTTCGTCTTCTGGGACCCTTACTATCCGGATATTATTTCACTTATGGAATTACTGAGTTCTTGACATCTCCCTTCGAGATTCAGCAGTGGTCTTTTTCTCTTCTTTTCAGCTTCCTTGCTT